CTCTCTCTCTCTCTCTCTCTCTCTCTAACTTTGACCTCTGTTTTAGGTTGATGCTCATAGCAACCTTGGAAATCTGATGAAAGCTCAAGGATTAATGCAAGAGGTGAGTGCCCAGTGAACTCCACTTCGTTTCTCTTTTTCCTTAGGTATAATAAGTTTTGAAATGGTTCAACGCTTGTTGATTCCTTTTTTGCGCCTAAATGCCAGAATTAATGTCGAGTATGGAGCACGGAATAGAATCATTATGACTTGATTGTAGGATAGTGAACTTATAGAATAATTGATTAATTTGCTGACCTATATGGTTATTTGTTTCATAGTCATGAAGACTGAATTTAAGGCATGCTAATTATTGACTGTATCATTATCCTGATTGGTATACATTTTTAACTGGTAATTAGGACTTGTATATTGGCATCATGTTTGGAAAGATCTTCAATGTTTTATAAAACTGTGTCAATTTGAGGCATGCTAATTATTGACTGTATCATTATCCTGATTGGTATGCATTTTTAACTGGTCATTAGGACTTGTATATTGGCATCATATTTGGAAAGATCTTCAATGTTTTATAAAACTGTGTCATTAGCTTGCTGCTTGTGCTAACCAAGTTCAACTGTCTATTTCAAATTTTTTCAATCATATATGCTTTTAAATTGTTTTGAGCATATTTTTTGGCTAGGCATACAGTTGCTATATCGAGGCTCTCCGCATACAACCAACTTTTGCCATTGCATGGTCCAATCTTGCTGGCCTTTTCATGGATGCAGGTGATCTTAACAAGGCTCTGCAGTGCTACAAGGTGTGAATCATTTTTTCATTAATCCACGATTGATTTAAGTTCACGACTCACTTGGCTGCTGATAATTTGATTTGTTTTTGTTTATAATACTAAAACTTGATTGAGCTGGGTGCTCCTGCATGCTCGCTTAGTTACGTGCATTTCGTTCTATTTTTAGGAAGCAGTCAAGTTGAAACCTAACTTCTCAGATGCCTATCTGAATTTGGGAAATGTTTACAAGGTAAGATCTCTTGCTCTGTGCTAATAAGGTTAGCTGTGACTGCCGGTTCAAGAATCTGTAGAAAAACAAGATTTCTTTGCATTTTCCAGGCTTTGGGAATGCCTCAAGAGGCCATTGTTTGTTATCAATGTGCTCTGCAATCAAGACCCGACTATGCTATGGCTTTTTGTGAGTATTTTTGTCCTGCTTCTATACTAAATTGGCATATGTAATTATTTCACGTGCTAAATGTATCAAGAGGATTTCCTTTTTCGATATTGGGATTTTAGTTGCACATATTTATGGTGTAGTTCTTTTTGAAAGTAATACTTGGGGTGGTTTCTATTTATTGATACCCCCCACCCCAAAAAATAAAAAGAAATAAGAGAGAAAAAGTAAGTAAATAACAAATAGAAGTGAAAAAGAAATAAACTATGGATGTGTATAAAAGCCATAAGATAAAAGGGAAATAGGAATATCCCTAGGGGAAGAACAATATTTGCAAGGAATTAGTTCAAAGTGCTGGAGTTGAAGAAAGAAATTGGTAAGATAAGACAGAGCGGAAGAAATCCTGAAAGTATAAAAAGTGTCTACCTTACCATCTTCATTCCATAGGGAATTATCCTATAGACAAAGAGGCAATCAAGTTGTAACATTCTAATTTCTTGAAAAGGACAAAGTGTTATTTAATCATAAAATAACATATTAAACACAAGAAAAAAATTAAATATAACAATCATTTATTTATCAATAAATAAAAAATGTGTTTCAAGATAAAATAAAATAAAAGAACATTTATTTCCAAACAGTAACCAATTATTCAAAAATCTTTTGAGTATGAATTTCCTTTTTTCAAAATAAAAAGATCCCTCCACCATCAACCGATTTCCAGTCCCAAATTCCTGATCTCTAATCACTTGAAGGAGAGGGGGGGGGGGGGGGGAAAAGGGG